CAGTGAGTTCACCTAGGCTTCTTCTCCCTCTTGCTTCATATTGAATTGCCAAGTTCCAGTGACTCTGCTTTTATTTTTTCACTCATATCCATCTTTTATTTTCTACTTCTGTAACCATCGTCTTGATGAAAGCCCTCATCATTTATGAATTAAATAATTGTGATCTCTGTGACTATAATCTTGAACTATGCAATCTATTTTTCACATTTCTATAAGATCTTATTCTTATAGAAATGACATTTTTAGCATACAGTATTTTCAAAATCAGGAATGGGTTCTCTTTTGTAGAATATGCTTGAGGCACAAAAGAAGCTTGCTATTTTCAACTCAGGCATTCTCCCTCAACCTCATTTGACACTGCTTCAATATGCAAACATTCAGTAAATTCACTCCAGGCCACACTGTGGTCTACTCTGGACTTCTAGAACTTTCCTTTTGTGCCTTTCCATGGTAAATTTTTTTTTCCTGTTTATGATCCTGTCATGAATCCTCTGAAGAGAAATGTCCTATGCAGCAAGTGAATTCCCATGTGTCCTTGAAAACCATTCTAGCTTTCCCTGATCTCTTGAGTTCTACTGGTTGCTCACTTCCTGTAAATCCTTATCACTTTTTGTCTGTGCCCTTCAATCAACATTTGTAGCAACCTGTTGGCATCTCTCACACATTTGTCTTATAAGTTAATACATTATTATTTAATATTCAATATGCCTCTATCATGTTTTAATCTTAAATGGAAACTTCTTGAGAGAAGGAACAGTGCTGCTTCCCAAAAGAGTCTCAGAATGCTGAAGAATCTTGGAGGGTTTGTGTCTTTGTATTATAGAGTGAGAAGGTGCTGTGCACAGTAAATAAAAAGGCAACAAAGCAAGGCCATCGGAACTGAAACGAGTGCTTGTGGAAAGAGTAGATTCTAATGGTTAGCTTCCTGGAGAAAGAAAGTTTAATAAGAAAGAGAAAAAAAAAACACTGGTTGCCAGTGGAATATTTGGGATCTTGCCTTTAAAGGTGGAAAAGGGTTCATCAAAATGAGCCCATTCTAAGATGAGATGAAGAGTTTTCTACATGATAGGGAATATTTTCATTATTTTATATGTGCTAACTCATTCATTTTTCTCATGATAATCCCAAGTAGTAGTAATATTCCCACAGGAGAGTCACCTGCATGCTTCTCTGTCTCAGTAACCTGCTATCTTGGTACTTCTTGGTTCTATCAATGACATTTCCCACATAGTTTTAAACACTTTATTTACACGTGTCTGTATCCACTTCTGCCATTTTTAAAGGTTTCCACCTGGACACACTGATAGCCTGACTTCACTAATATCAGGGTGTGGTAAGGAGCACTGTTATATCTGAATGGGGTTTGGAAAGAGCTGAGGATGAAATATCATTTTTTTTTTCTGAAAAAGTAAATGAAGAAATTTTTTTCCTATTTCTTGGATTCTCCATAAGACTGCATAAAATAAAGCACTGCAGACCTGGCTGTGATTCGTGAGAAGAAAATAATACTGCCAAATAAAAATATCAGGATAAATATTGTCTGAATGCTTAGCAAACCATTTTTTTTATAATTCCAATAAAATTCTCTAAATTTCTCACATCCTTCCTATTTGTCATATATTGTTGATCTTTCACAATGTTTTTTTTAACTGGCTTATGGGAACATGCTAATATTTTTCCACAAGATTGTAAGAAAAATTTCTTTTTTGGTAACATATACTATATTGGTAGCAAATTCCTATCATCACATTTTTACTTCCAACACTCATATCATACTTCTGGCAAATCTGTGCAGAAAATTCATTTTGTGAACTTAGATACAAGCAGAACCCAATTTTAACCATGAAGGCTTTTTTAAAAAGTCATTTGATAGATACTCAGAAATCATCATATACAACTGGAGATTAGAATATGTTGCTTCTCCACAGCATATCCCAATGTTTCCCTTTTGCTGACAAACTAAAATTGAGATTCTTTACCTTGGTGTTTAACCTCCAGCATTTTGGCTCCAATCCCATATTTCTCTTTCAAATCCTGTGATACTCAGACAGTCATGACTTATTCCTCTACTAGAATATTTGAAGTGTTCAGAGTGACAAGCAACTTTCATATTGCTCATGTTTTTCTCTCTATGCCTACCATCCTTTTCTTCCATAGTCTTATCTTTCTTTGTCCTCTAAATTCCCAAATGTTCCTCCCTGGGGAGGTTTTACCCTAGACTCAGAGATAATTCATTATCTTCTCTGCATTTACCAGTACTTTGTCCAAAATTCATTTTATTGACGGTGGATGTTTTTCTTCTTAAGTCAAAGGCAAGACCTCATACTTCCACCTATTTCTTCATTATTCTTCATTATTCACTATATTATACATACAGTAAGCTCTCAAATAATGATTTTTGAAATGCAATACTGCAAGCTAGGTTCTTTCCATAAGCAGATGAATTTTAAATAATGCAAAATTGTGCTTGTAATGATAAAAAAAAAAGATGATGCTGAGAAGAAGTCACAAAAATTGGATAAAGGAGAATAGGATAAGATAGGACTTCTTTCAGGATAAGAAACTCAGAGGCATAAGATGTAGTTCAAAACCATATTCAGCTATTTGGAGTCTTATGTTAAAAAAAAATGGTGTTACTTAGTATTGAGTAAGAAAGTAATAAACAGCTTTCAAAACTATATCTGAATTTAAATTAGTATTAATTCTGTCTTTTATACCAAGAAGTGCAGATTTCTAGAGGGCCCTGGCCCACATACATGTCTCTTGTTTTTCAGGGAAAACTCTGTGTTGCCAAATACATGATATCAATGCATCTACAACATACATTATAGTATGTTATGTTCAGATCCATATAATAAATGATCTGGTGAATTTAGAAGGTGGGAAAAAAATCAAACTAGCCAGCATTTTTCTTTATATTTCAAACTTTATCATGAAATAATTTTAGGGTTCTTCAGGATTTAAAAATTTTCTTCAGCCTTTGGATTCACGCTCAAGTCAGAGTGGCTGCTGCTTAGAAAAATCTCTCCTGTTTCTTTTTAAAAGATAATCACATTTCAGGAGCTCCCGTGGCAGGTCCTGAGTTTTCATGAGATAGAGGGTTAGAACTCAAAAGCCAAATTAGTACCCAGGCTAGGAATTACCTATGGTCTCTCTATCTGCTTGCACATATTAAATAGATTATTGATTAATTGTCTCCTAGTAGTCACTTTACTACTTTCACTTTCAAATACTATGAATTTGGTTGTTTTTTCAGGTGGATATGTCAAAGTCCCACTATCCTATCTATAGGTCATCATATCTATAGGTCATTTCTGCTATTTCTACCATATTTTATATTCTTGAATTAATAATTGAAAATACTTATGACTGGTCTAAAAAAATAGTTGTAGCCCAATGAAAGTTTTAGTATTTAAGAGAATTAATATTTTCATCAATATTTATATAGAGGTTGAACGATTTTAAATGATTTTTAAATAACTGGGAAATAATCAAATGATTGAAATTGGCATTCTAATCTAGGAAGAAGCAAAATCTCTGCAGAAGTATTATCTGTTTTAGTCTGCTACATGTTACATTTCATAAACATTTAGTGAAATGTGTAACAGAATTAAGAACACTGACTTTATAGTTTGGAGCACTTTCTCAGCAGTGAAAATTACTAGCAGCACTGTGGCCTTAGATAAAACCTAAAATTCCTCTGCCTTCAATTTTCTCATCTGTAAAATATAAGTGATAATTCTTAACCTATTTACCTTGCAACATGTTTATAAGGATCAGATGATATGCTACAAACTTTATAGAATGCTCCTTCTTCATTTCTCTCTTTATCATTTCCAGTTTATTTGATTTAATTAAGCTAAATAAGAACTAAGGATCATCACTTCGGCAGCCACTGGGAATTAGACTGGGTGGCATCGGCAGCTTTGGTCTAAGAACTTTCTTGTGAGGTCTCTTCTTGCATCATACTGCTCCCTTTATTGGGCTCCAGGCAGACCTGTGTCTTTAGTTCTTGGAGTTACAACTTTCTTAAATAGTGTCCCTCCTTCTCCTGAATTCCATTCTAGTAACATGGTAGTGCCTGGTAGGATAGTCAGTCAGGCAAATCTCAAGAGGCAGACAAGGTAAAGGGAGTCTTAGCTCTTGCAATCAGATGACAAGGGCTCTAAAATGCCAAAATCAGTAAAAATCATGGCAAATGGGCAGACCAGAGGGTCAACAGTCCTAACATGGAGGTCCCTAGAGTGGAATCACAGAATTTAGGGATGAAGAGAAGTATGAACCTGACCTCAGGCTCAAGAGGACCAGAGTCAGACTCCAGTCCTGAAAGAACGAGACAATGATATGCACTCATTTACTGGATCTTGAACACCAGATAGTAGTTGTGTTTCTGAAGAATAAGGCACACATCTAGAGGCCGAGACTGAATTGAAGGATTTTCACAGATGGCCTAATAGGAAGGTGGGATATTTGAACTATCAGGATGTGGATCAAAGGGATTTGCTTGGGGATCAAGACTGTCTCAGAGTTTGGGGAAAACTCATCCTGCAGGTGACAATTATGTGGTCCCACCAAGAAGAATTGGAGAAATGTTTGAGTTAGAGAAATGAGCCAGGTCAGTCAACATATTGAATGCTGCTCCTATTTCTACAGAGCACATTTCTTGACCTCTTCTAAAGTTAAGAATTATTCTAATAAAATCATAATGGGCAGAATTCAAATTCTAAAAATGTTATTTTATTTTATTTTTCAGAGTACACTCTAGAATTTTTTTCTACTAGCAATATCCTATATGTAGTCATCAGTATTCTTATGACTCCAACAGTTAGTCAATTCATATTCAAATATCTGAAAAGAATTTTCAAAGAGAATTGAGTTTTAATTTTTTTTCTGAATTTTTATACTGTCTATTTTAACCTCAAAATTATTTTTCAAAATTACTGCATTTCTATGCAAAATGTTGTCTCTTTGAAACTCAACTTTTGTAGTCTTACACCTAAACTGCATTCCTCAATTGCCAGCAGGGTCTACAAAACTCTTATTTCATAACTTTCATTTTGTGGTTTTCAGTACTGAAGCAGTAAAACAAAATTCATGTAGTGACAGTTTTGTGAAGATATCAGTTTTTATTCGGGTAGAACTCTATTTTAATAAATACTATTGCAATGTCTTTTTCTATGCAGTGGGATTATGGCATGCTCTGTAAATGAGTCCTAGCTAACAGTTCTTTGCTATACTGTTCACATATCCTTGATGATAGATGTTTCTTCAGGTGAAGAATGGAAATGCTGAAAAAGTTTGGATTTAGAAGAAAAATTTCCTCATTACAACTCTAATAAACTTTCACATCTAGGCACAATGGTATAAGCCTGTAATCCCAGCAATTCAGGAGGCTGAGCCAGGAGGATCACAAGTTCAAAGCCAGCCTCAGCTATTTAGTAAGATCCTGTCTCAAAAAAAAAAAAAAATTAAAAGACCTGGGGATGTGGCTCAGTGGTTAAGTAACCCTGGGCTTAATCCCTGGTATAAAAATAAAACAAAAAAAAACCCAAAACAAAAACTTTCACACATAAAAAGTGTGTGTGCGTATGCACACACACGTGTGTGTGTGTGTGTGTGTGTAAATATATTCACATATACGAATTATTTGACAAAAACTTTTAAGTGACATTTTGAGATCTGCAACATTTAGCTCACACTAGAATAACTTTTGGTCAAGCTTTGTGAAAAATTAATGCATGCAACATAAGGCCTTTGCATTTTCAGCAGAAAATAAAATTAAATTATTGTATTACTTAGAGCAGAATGTTGATATTTTAAAAACCATTTCAATAAGCATAGATGACATAAAAATAAATTCTTTTAATGCAAAACCCTCTTGAACCATCTCTTTAATTGGGTTGGGGAATATACATGTCTTTCTTTCAAAACATTTATAGAATATAAGTTTCATCCATGTCTTTCAGGAAGAGATGAAGGAAGCAAGTATACAGTGTCATATAAATGTAATAAGGAGACATTCAGGGCTTCATCTGGCATGCTTGGGAATGCATCTGTTGAACTATCTTGGCTGGCATAGCTCAACAGACATGCATGGGGGTACCTAACTCTAGGGTGTTTGGTGGGCTTTCTGGGTACACTCCCAGGGGCATAAACCTTACCTTGATGGTAGCCAGGACCACCTCCATTACAGCACATTGTCTTGGTGATAGACCCTTGGCGTCCTCTCTAATCATGTGCTCCTGGAAAACAGGTTAATGACTGCTTACACAATCATCAGTTCATTTACTTCACTACTTTCAAAAAATATGTATAATCCCATAACAATTTGAAATACCTTTTTCACATGGGTGTATTCAAAATGATTGTTTTGTCATATAGTTAATAAATATCCATTCTACCAAAGGAAATGCTACCTGACTCCTTAAAAAGCAGTACTTGTACAGAAATGTGACTTTATTTTCACTACAAGTTTATGTAAAAAAAAAAAAAAGAGAGAGAAAGAATGAAAGAAGCCTGAGAATTTTGAGAACTGTGTGTCAAAGCCTTTTCACCTTAATTCCTTGCTTTGCTTTCTGTCATACTGAGAAGTCTCAAACACAGAAGGGACTTGAGGAGTAATTTTAGCCTCTTCTAATTAATACTCATGTAGTTTACTTTAAATACAGGGGCCCTACTTTATTCTCTTTCACAGATCCCCTTAATTCTTACTCATTACTGGGAAAAGCCCCAAAGAACTAATTGAATTTGGCTGTGGAGGTGTTCAATCTTTTGTAATCACTTTAATATTTTGGAACTGATTTCATTAATTAACAATGAATTTTCCTCACTGTCTCAATCCATTATTCAAAGCTTACTTAGGAAAACAATGGTAAAAATTTAGAGAAAATAATAAAGAAAATAGATATTTGTCTAGGAGAAAATTTTAAAAATTCCTGATACCCCCTGCTGGCCCCCCACCCAATGGATACAATCCTCCAGGGCTGCTACTAATCTATTGAGTGCTTATGACAAGCCACACTCTTGTAGGTGATTGAGATATTATTCAATAAAAAGAAGACTCTTGTCTTCCTGAAGTTCAGGTTCCTTCCAGCTTATGTTTGCCTCTGTGTGAATTAAAGTCCCATGTGTGGATACAATTCTGAGAATGCATGGTTTGATTAATGGATCAGTGCCTTTGCTGGAATAAAAAGAATCCCTTTTCCTATGAGTCAGCTCCAACTCAGCACACAGGGCTTGGCAAGTGGAACATGGGCTTGGTTCCAGCCCTCACTTGCTCTGTTAGCTGGGTACTTCTGTGCAATGTTCAAAGTGTGCAATCATACCTAGGGGCTTGTCCTGTTCTGTCCCTTTTCTTATTCTATTATTTAGTAGATGCTGTGAGTTCCTGGAGATAATCTCTATCCTTTTCACTTCTTCAGCTTTTCAGGGTCTACCTTGGCAACAGTCACTTGCTGGGCACCGAACATATTTTGGGTAATTGAATTGTAATTTCTTCAGTTTATCTCGTAGGGTTCAAAATACTTGTTTCAAACAGAGTTATGCATGAAACATCTTTTTCTGATACAAAAATTTGAACTTAAATAACTGAGTTCATTTAACATTTTTAAAAGAGGAATAGTAAATATCTATTGAGATTCAAAGGCTAAGAGAAATTTTTGCTAAATTATAGGGGGAAAATGCTTTATGACCTGTAAATACAAATATTTTATACTAAATAAAATTTTCTGATCTTGACTATTTTTATAATGCAATTATATTATTTTTAAATATTTACTAATAAATACTATATTTTGGTACTATAAAATGTAATTTTTGCAGCAATAACTTTCTGAGACTTATTATTTCATTCAAATAAAGGAGTCTTTGGGAGATGACAGCAAAGAATTATTGAGCAAGCGAAAGGTTTGTAGTAAATTCATAGTCTCAGGCATATTTATCAAGTGGATTTTTTTTGTTATATCAACAGTCCATTTATGCATATTTACTTTTATTTTTATGTCAAGTAAATTGAATCCCATTAAACAGTAATGTCAGGCCTGCATAATATGCATACATACAGAGTATGAAGTAATAGGCTTATGTCAATTATTAAATAAATACTTGTCTAATGATTAATCCTAAATCCATAGTCAAGTACAGAAAAGTTCCCCACATTATTCATATTTCTGATCTTGTGTTCTTTTAAATAAGGTTAGTTTATTATCATTTATATTTATGAGTTCTCAAAGTATCCATCATCACAATGATGTCAAATAGTGCCTTTCCAGCAGATCAAGCCTACTTTCAAATATATTGAAAGTGGAAAGTGGTTTAAAATTCTTTAAAAATAAAGTGGTAAATTAAAATAAAGTACTAAAACAAAAGTAACTGGCTTTATAAAATGTGACGTTCTTTGTACCAGCTGGAGTTTCAGTATTTCACACAGAATTATAGAACATTTATAGATCTGTAATGCAAGTAATAATAATTATATAGACAAACTGAAAAATAATGATCAAGGGCCCCAAATAGAACTAAGCTAGTTTCTTATCACCTATGGTTCACAAGATTCTTGTTCTAGTCCTTCAGATTATTTCAACATAGATAAAATAACTTTTAAAGATCTTTTCATTCATAGATTGCCTTGAGGAATTAAAAGAATATTACCAAAGTGCAAAAAATTGGGGTCTACAAAGTGTATGAGAGTGTCATGTTTTCTATGGATTCTAATTTTGGCTACCCAGAAGGCAAATATCTCCAGGTAGCTAGCCTCTATCCTACACTACACAGAGTTCCTAAGATTTGGACAGGGCTTACTTCATCCCCCAGTGCAGGGCCGATATGAATTGAGACAACTGGCCCATGTCTTTTCCCGGGCTATTGTGATTATCTTAGGAATGGTGAAAACACTCCCTCAGAGTCAATGATTTACCAGGAGATTTTCCTCAGATTCCTGATACTAATATGAGTGATTTTTTTCCCCACAAGATTTGAAGTTCATAGGATGTAAGAGCAGAAACAACCATCTTACAACCAGGAAGGAAGGTTTGTAGTGATAATACATCAAACAAGGAGAAGGGCAGAGTTGAGAGAAAATAACCCCATCTTGGAACATTGATAGAATCCCTAATCAATCAGTCTTGGAAATCAATGTTAGCACTGAACTATAAAATTTCATGCAACAATAAATCCCCTCTTTGTTTATGTCAGCTTGGCTTCTATCACTTGAAATTGAAAACATTTTAGCTGATATAACATTCAACTCAGGAAACTGAAGCCTGGGGAGAAGGAATGTTTCATAATATCACACAGATGCTAGACATGCAGTCAGGGTCATCTCTTTTATAATGAGACCTATGCTGCTTCACCTTGATGGTTCTATATGAGAAACTTTGACACTGTATAAATCCATTTTTCAAGCAGGGTCCAGAAATCCCAGAGAGGTAATAAAAAGAATAAAGAGAAATACAAGAGGAAAAAAAGTTTAGTAGTAATATCTACCTTCTATCTTCCTTCTTAACTATCAGTAGCCCTGAATGAGAAAAATTTTAGGTGTTGGTTATGCCTTCTCTATGGATTATTGATTTTAAGTTTTTTTAAATTTTTCCTGAGGAAGGGAGACGATATTAATGATACAACTGGATACTGAAATTAGAAGTATATATTTTACCTTGGTAAATAATTATGCAAATTTATTACTCTCCCACTGAGTTGTAGATATAAAACAATACCAATAATATATAACTATGAGCTACCAGCTGGGGACAAATGAAGTGGCATACTCCTTGCAGTTGTCAAGCAAAGATGATATATAAATTATATTATTTATTTCTACAATCCTATGGACCAAATGTTAAGCTTCTCTGTGTTTTAAAATGCCACATATAAAAATTGGAAAGGTTAAATGCTTTGGCCCATGTCACAAATTTAGATAAATTTGAACCAAGGGAGTCTGTTCGTGCTACCCATTCTCTAGTGAGTAAAGAAAAAACAATATGCATTTTAACCAGCTAAGTTCCTATCCTAGGGAGATAGGGACTGAGTTTCCCTGTATAAATTTCAAGTTTGGGGAATTCCAAGTGATAACCAAGGGAAGGTTATTTCATCAACAAATCCTCACTTAATTTAACGGGATTGAACATGTCCACAAGTTCATTTTTTGCTTTAATGAGTTTTGCTTTCTTTTATTGTATTTTTTGGCTGTAAGACTTCTCTAAGCTTCAGAGGATTTCTATGTAGTGTTCCATTTTGCTTTTATGCATACAAAGCAGTTTAATATATGAAAGAAAATATGTTCTCTAATAATTTGGTGCAAAAGCAATAATGCTAATGGCTATAATGCAAAGTTAGAAATTCTCAGTGCAGATTGTGAGATCACAGACACACATCTTTCTAATCCCAACATGCTAGATATCCTTATAAGCAGGAGAATGTTTTTTTTTTTTTTTTGCAGAGCTGTAGTTAGTTCATTACTTTTCACAGGAAACCAGTTTCTTTATTCTTATTACCTTCAGTTTGGATAACTGTCCAAGATCTTTAGCTGCAATGAAAATCATCTGAGGTCCCTAAAAACATACAAGAGAAAATGAAAGATGACTCAGTCTTCAGATTGTCAATGTTAGTCACAGTAGAAAAGTAGTAATTAGACCATTTTCTTTATTTCCCTTAGAATGTTTGTGGCTTCTATATCCAATGCAGTTAATTAGTCTATTTAAATGGGACAAAGATACCTAGTAACTTGCCAGCACAGCAGACCTCAGAGGTGCCCCACTTCTGAGAGTCTTAGGTTTGGGTTACTGAATGGATTGCAGTAACAATCCTGAAACTAACACAGCCAGTTTAAGGTAGCACATGGACTGGACGTTTTTAGTTGTCACTCTCTTACTCCAATCCCCACAAATAAATCTATACAGGGCTGAAGAAGGTGGAGCTGAAATGCTGTCCAACCTATCAGAGACCTGCTTCTTGATCTCTTCCTCAGCTGGAGGCTTTCTCTAGAACCCTCAAAACTTGGGGAAGAGAATTTGTAAAACACTGGAATAAACAATCCAAAGCAGTGGAATGAAGCAGTGGAGGTATGTCCAGTGGCACATGTAACTACAAAAGTACCAAATTTTGTGAAGTTCTTCAGTGGTTTGGAATATTCTCACAGTAAAGAAAATCAGCTATTCTGGACCATTATTCTCTATGTTTTGCTTTCTCTCTTCCCTCTTCCTCTTTCCTCTCTCCTTTCTACTCTCTCCTCTCTCCTCTCTCCTCTCCCCTCTCCTCTCCTCTCTTCTCTTCTCTTCTCTCTCTCTCTCTCTCACATCATTGGGGAATTAAAGACTACAAGGTTCTTGAAAACAGCAACCATGACCCATTTTGCTCATATTTTATAATAAGTATGTAGCACAGTGCATAGTACATTCTAGAAGCTCAAAGGATATTTATTAAATGTATCTATGAGTAAATGAATAATATAGGTTCCCACTTGTAGATATCAATGCTAGGGAAAATTCACATGGTGATGAGCTTTTTTAGGAAAGTCCTAATATAGAGAATAAAATGTTATATAGAGCATTTCTGCTGTAACATGACATACATATTCTTGAAAACCCTCATATGCTTCAAAATTGGGCACAAAAACTAGTAAGGTTTATGTGCAAAATGGTAGTGGAAAAAACAATAAAGCTCATAAAATTTTGTTATCAAAATAATAATTGATTCTTTAAGACATTGCTTAGACAGCTGGAAATGAGCTCAGTAAGGCTGATGGCTGCCTCAGGGATATTAAAAATGTAAAACAAAGAACAAGAAGACAGTAGTATACAACTGTGGGCTGAGGTAATGCCCATGCAAGTAGGTCTCTGAACACAGGAGACCTTCTCTGAGAAAGACTATGTGCAGGGAAACCATGCCCCCCCCTTTTTTTCCTTCTTCTTCTTTGAATAGGTCTACGCAGTAGCTGAGGTGGGAGCTCTTTCTTTTCTGTTGAAGTTATACTTCTTCTATAATATTTCTGAGCCTCTGACCAAGGGAAATTTACATATAAAACAATTTAACTTTCAGATTATACTGATATAATTCTCCTATTGATTAGTTGTATGAAAGTTAACTGGTGTTATGGTATTATAGGAATATATTCCATATTGCATCAAAATAAGATGTGTGTGTGTGTGTGTGTGTGTGTGTGTACTTATATACATGATTTGGACACCCATAAATACAGGCTATAAATGATTAAATGACACATTCATAGCATTAAGCAAAACTAAAAGTACTTTATATTTTATCACTCACTGGTAGTAAATCAATAAAAGCATATTTATATTTTCATCATGATATACTTTATAAGAAAATATTTTTTGCACATATAATTCCACTTGAGATATGTGGACTGAGTGTACATGACTAATGGTGTCAATAGTATTTTAGTTTTGTTTATAATTACTTATTATGTGAATATCCTCAGTCACAGAAAAAAATCAATTACTCCATAACAAGTACTTGTTAGGTTATTTTTTCCCCTTACTTTTATTAGGATATGTGACCTGAAATATCTGGCATACTGTGTAGCCACTTGACCATTGTCTAACTTTACTGCCAATTGATCCCTCAGGTTCTCTTTTATTTTACTGTGTGTAATACAATGACATTCTTCAAATCCAGTTAGAGCAGTCTATTCTATTATTCTCCAAGTCGAGAGGTAATAGATGAAAGCAGAAAGAGAAGGTGAAAAGATCCCAGGTTGTAGTGTTGGAATGATCTTCTAAAGCTATAAAATTAAAGAAAGAAACATAATGGCTACTGTGTCTCTGCGTGGACACAGTAAAAATAATCAAAAATCATATATGTAAACCAGACAACGTACCAATGGAACTTGGATACACATTTTTAAAGAGAAGTTTTGAGTGACAAGCAAGTGTGGTGCTTGATTCCTATTACCACTATTTAAAACTTATTTGGCTGAAAAAAAATGTAATTTGATAAAATTTGTGATAAATTGCATACCAAACTCTCTTTCTCAAAAATGGATTTAAATAGTACATCATCTGGATCAAAAGCACTCATTTTTTTTTTTTTAAAAAGAAGACAATTAGATTTGTTTTTAAAACTACATTTTAAATACTTACTGTTTGGTCTGTCAAAGGAGGGAGAACAATTTGTTTTTCTATTTTGTTAAGAACTAGTTTCCATAGTTCTTTCAAAACTCGCTTCAGGACTGTTTTCTCACAGATTTTTGCTGAAAGACTTAATCTGAATAAAATAAAACACACACTCATAAATGTACCAACTTACTCTATGAATCAGAAATTCCCATTAACTATCAAGATTCAAATACCTGAACAGGCCTTGATAATTTTCAAATGGTGAATTCCATTTACTTCAAAAGATTCATAATACCAAAGTATTTTAATCATATTGCACATTAGGTAATTCATTATATTTGGTAGAAAATGAAATCTGATAATTTGTTTCCTTAAATTGTTTCCTAAATTAACAGGCTTCAGACAGGAAAATACTGTTCCATGTACATCAATACACATTTAAAGACAAAAGATCCCTTTTATTTGTATATAAAATCAGTTCAGCCAAGAGCAATTTCTGAGATCAGTTACCAGGGTTTGGTGTGGGGCTGAGAAGAAGATAATAGAACCAATATTTTTCACCCACCAGATGGCAGACCCCTGAGGGATATCCTTGGAACTTTATCTCTGCTACTTTGAAAACCATTGTTCAAGGGGATCATTTCTAGTTTGCTGATGAAAATTTATAGTATAGACAAGGTAGAAACCAGCAGATATGTCATGGCAGAATGACAAATGTGATCTCCAGAGAGACTTAGGATTATGTGAGATAAAACAAATATGCCAATTTTGCTGCAGACCTGTCATTTCTACTTTCTAAAGGTCTGAATTTAAGAAATAATCTGTTTATGTATTCAGCAGAGTAAACAGCCCTGCTCAGGCTGGAACCAGAACAGAACTAAAATCAGTGACATGTATGTGGCTCTTCATGGGGTTTCTGCTAATTGGAAATGGAGTTTACAGCTCATTTTATGTACTGGTGAGATCTTAATGGAGAAGGTGAAACCGTAAAAAATAAGATGTTTTATTTACAGAGGCTGCACAAAGGCAGAGAAAGCCTATGCATTTATAATATAACGTGATTTCTAAGGGGATTTTCTCTAAACCACCCTAAAGACTCTCAGTCCCCTATTGTTTGTTTTGAAAATACAGGGGAAACCTCCTTGTAACTGCTTCCTTAATGTAGTCAGAGTTAACTGATTTGATATGCAAACCAGAAAGCTTGTATTTTATGACCTGAGCTACCTATATTGGCTGAACACAGAGCCAATTAACCATATGTTTTTCAAATGCCATATGTTTAACTGGTGTTATGGTAGAGATGTGAGGTGTCCCCCAAAAGCTCATGTGTGAGACGTGCAAGAATGTTTAGAGGTGAAATGATGGGGTTATGAGAATCTTAACCTCATCAGTGTGTTAATCTCCTGATAGAGATTAACTGGGTGTAACTGTAGGAGGGTGGATTATACCTGGAGGAGGTGGGTCATTGGGGGCCTGACTTTGGGTCATATATTTTCTCCTTGTTGAGCAGAGCTCTTACTCTGTGTCCTGGTTGCCATGTTTTGAGCTACTTTCCTCCACTACTCTTTTACCATGATGTTGTGCCTCACCTCATACCTCAAGGAATGAAGCATAAACTTTTCTCCTCTCAAATTGCTCTTGTCAGGTCTTTTTTTTTTTTTTTTTT